TCACAGCTGGGACTGATGTTGGGACAGTTTTCCTTATAAAGGAATGTGAGCATGGAGGACAATGATGAACACCTCGGGTACTTATGCAAAAATTCCCTGTCACTTGGGCAGTGCCCACCCTCACCCTGTTGGGGCCAGGACAATAGGGGCTGTCCCCCAACAAGGCAGGACTTGCCTGAGCAAGGAGGGTGTGATTGTAGGCAGCCTCTTGGGGCCTGGGTCTTTTCCTCACCACCCCTTCTCTGCCTCCCTGTTACGGGTTGAATTGTGTCTTCCTAAAAATTTATATATTGAAGTCCTAACCCCCAGTACATCAGAATGTGACCTTATTAGGAGATAGGGTCTTTGCAGAGGTAATGAAGTTAATCTGAGGTCATTTGGGTGGATCTTAATCCAATAGGACTGGTGGCCTTATAAGAAGAAGAGATTTGGAAACAGAGACACGCACAGAAAGAAGACAGTGTGGAGAGACACAGGGAGAAGATGCCATCTGAAAGTCAAGGGGAGGACCTGGAACACACCCTTCCCTCGCCCTCAGAAGGAACCACCCCTACTGACACCTTGACCTTGGACTTCCTGCCTCCAGAACCGTGAGACAATACCCTTCTGTTAGGTAAGCGTCCCGTCTGTGGTAGGATGCTAGCAGCCCTAGCAAACTAACACCCCCCTCCAAGAAAGAGTTCCTGGAAAGGGGAGAGAGGACATGGGACACCAGCACCCCTGGGGCAGTGGGCTGGGCTGCGGACGCCCAGTAAGTGTGGCAGCCAGGACCCCAGGCCTCCTCACACCCACCGCCACACCCGGGCACCTGAGATCCCTCGCCGGGGGCTCTGGCCATCGGTCTCTGGACTCACTGGAGGAGGAAGCTTTGAGGTTGGTGCTTGAGCTTGTCACTTAAAATCTTTGATGAGACCCCACTGAAGGCTTTAGGTGCGCGGTGAGTCTGACCATACTTGTGTTTCAGGAAGACCCCTGTGACTATCGCAGCGTGGAGGCCAGATGGGGTGGGGAGACCATAACCACGGGAGCACTGAAGAGGCTCAGGGAAGATTCCAGAGCTGTTTAGGAGGCATCACTGTTGCGATGAACTGAGCAACAAGCAGGTGGGAGCACGAGGAGTCTCTGGCGGAGGGGTGCTCTCTGGGATGGCTTGGGGAGCAGCTCAGGTGGGCATGGTCTGTGGGATGGCCACACACCTCCCCAGGGCCCGTCACAGTGGGAGGTCAGGCCTGGGGCTCGGAGGAGAGGCCTGGGGTGCAGGTGTGGGCCTGGGCATCGCTGGTGTTCAGGTGCAAGTGGGCCATGGGTGGGGACCATCGTGCAGAAGGGGTGGGCATGAGCTGCTTCTCCCAGAGGCAGACCCAAAGACAAGCATTTGGGAGGTGGTGGGGAAAGCAGAGAGGATGTGGGGACATGAGACAGGGGAGGGAGCAAAGGCGCAGGGCTTTCAGGGGCAACTGGGAGGAGGTCAGTCCCACTGGGGCTGGGGGAAACCAGGGATCAGGCCTCACACTTGCTGTCCTGCAGTATGAGGAGGCCCATCCTTTGCTGGCTGGGGGCTGTTCCCAGATTCTAAACTCTCTGGCACTTCTGATCTGCCCGTACACAGGCTGAGCAGGTGCCTGTGGCCAGAGAAGGGCCTCAGGCAGCGATGCAGGCAGTGATGCAGGCGGTGATGCAGGCGGTGATGCAGGCAGCTGGAGGAGCTGTGGGGATGTGGCAGTGACCTTCAGGGCCAGCCGGGATGTGGCCAGGGCATTGAGGCTTCTGCATTGATGTGGTCCACAAGTGTGTCCATCTTGCAGTGGGGAGTGAGGAGCCTGTCCCCTTCTTTCATTTGTCATAACAGAGGGGACCACAGCAGGGACTGGGTGAGGGCGGGGGCCTGAGTTGGGGAGCTGGATGGCCCAGGCTAAAAGGGTCCTTTCCGATATCAGGGACGGCAGCAGAAATAGCAAACGGTTGTTAATGTGCAAATCATTAAGAAAAATAGTGATTTCTCTCCACGGTGTTGAGAGAGCTCCTAAACAGCTGCTAATTAGTGGCCAGCAGAGGCTGGGCTGGAGTGAGGCTGGAGGCCTCCTTAGCCTCCCCCCCTATGCTCTGACCTCCTGCCTTTCCGGCTTATCTGCCTCTCTGCTTCTTACCTTTGTACCTCTGAGATATGGGGATCCTGCCTGGCCACATGGTTCCCACGCCCAGGGGGTCAGGGCCCTTGAGGGCCGCCTAGGCCCAGGGAGATAGCAAGTGGTTCCCAGGAGGGAGCGGCTCCCCTCTCTTGTCTTAAATGCCCCCAGGTTAGCATATGGGGAGGGACCAATCTCAGGTTGGCTCCGCATCAATGCCGTTGGGAGTGGGGTGATGTTGGCGTGCATTTGATAGGAGGACAAATTGTAGAGTGGCATTTGTAGGGGTGTGGGTATAGGCAGCAACGAGAACAAGTGCCTCCAGGCAGCTGGCACAGACATGGGTGGGTGTTAGCACAGGTGGGGTGAGACATGGATGTCGATGGTCATGGCCAAGCGGCCAAGCGTGGGTGCAGATCAGTATAGAGGTGTGGATACCGGTGACAGCAACTGGGTGTCAGGACGTCGATGGATGAAGTCATAAGAGTTGAGACTTTATATCACTTATTACACGCCCATCACAGTCCTATGTGTTTTATATACATTTATTCATTTAATTTTCATAACCCCATAAAAGATATCCTATCAGTACCCTCGCTTTTGAAGGAGAGGGAACAGAAGGACAAAGAGGTCACATAGCTGCCCAAGATCACCCAGCTGGTGAGTGGCAGGGTTGGGAGTTGAACCTAGGCTGTCTGGCTCCAGAGCCCACTCTTAGTCCTTCTCGAGACCAGAGACATGGCGTGGGGATGAGGGTGTGCGTGCAGGTGGCTGCAGGTGTGGAGCAGAGGTTGCTGCGAGTGGGTAGAGAAGCGAGAGCGGGTGTTGCTTAAGACGGAAGCACAGGAGAGAGGGCGCGTGTGGCCCAGCCAGGGTGCTGTGGGGCAGCGGGTCTCAGCCTGTGGTGGGGCACCATAATCGTCTGGATGGAGGGCTTGCTAGACCACGATTGTTTCTGATTCTGGAGGTCTGGGGTGGGGCTCCAGGATTGCATTTCTAGTAAGTTCTTAAGTGATACCACTGCTGGTGGTTTGGGGACCAGACTTTGGCAACACTTGTGTAGGGCATGACACAGGGCGATGATGAAGAATGGTGGTTTTGAGGTGAAGAAAGAGGTGGGTAGACCAGAACAGAGAGCGAATGTAGAAGTTCGGGATGGGTGCAGCCAGAGGGAGACACCCCTCGGAACGAGCACAGGTCGAATGCAGCTGAGTTCAGCAGGAGCATAAGCGTGAGGACGAGGATATCGGAGCCCTGGCTCCAGCGGCAAAGGCAGCGCCTGCAGCCCTATGGGAGCCTCTTTCCTGTTGACGGTCCTGCTCCCTGTGTTGACTTCCCAGGTGGTGGCTGTCAGGTGTGACCTGCCTGGGAAATGTCTGGGTGTCCTCTCACTGGCCTGCAGTGGGGCCCGAGAGGCTCTTTAGGGAGTCAAATGCAAACTTACAGGGGCGTCCATGGCAGTGGCCTGGGAAGCCCTGGGGCCTTCGAGGTGGATCCCAGGCTGCATGGGCTTCCGGGTGTGCAGAGGTGGCCGAGACAACAGGCCTCTCCTCACCTGGGGCCCCATAGGTGCAGGAAGATTCTCTGTGTTCATCCATTTGCACCTATAAATGACTGATCCCAAATAGGTGACTGCCTGTGCTGGAGGAGACATCCCAGAGGACTTGGGGAGGGGCTGAAACCTGTCCAGAAAGGGCCTCCTGTCCCTCCTCAGTCTTAGCGCCTGTGCTTGGTCCTTGCTTTGCTGTGGGCGAGGGAGCTGGAGGTGGAGCTGGGTGGGGCTGGGGTTCCTCAAACTAGAAACAGGAGCCCCCAGCCAGGAAGGGCTCTTTGGACCACAGCAAGGAACATTCGGCTGGAGGCTGTTGGAGGGACGAGGGTGCAGCAACAGACCCCAAGAAAGATGATTCCACTCTGAGGGCCACCGGTCTCCCAAGGCCGGGCCCAGAGGGGCTGACCTGGAGCCACACCTGAGTCAGCCAGGGGTCATGGGTTGAACTGTGTCCTCCCCCCAAAAAACATGGCAAAGTCCTCACCTCCAGTATCTCAGAATGTGACCTTATTTAAAAATAGAGTCGTTATAGAGGTAATCTGGTTAAATGAGGTCATTAGGGCTGGCCTCACTCCAATACTACTGGTGTCCTTACAATGATAGGAAATTTGGACACAGGGACAGATGCAGAGGGAAAACCAGGTGAAGATGCAGGGGACAATGGCCACGTGCACACCAAGGAACACCTGTGGCTGCCAGAACCTGGGAGAAAGGCCTGGAACAGATCTCCCCTCACATCCCTCAGAAGGAACCAGCCTCCCAAACTGTGCGACAATAATTTTCGGTTGCGTAAGCCACCCAGTGTGCAGTACTCGTTACAGCGGCCTCAGGAAACCAACACACCACAATTCACGGAAGGAGCCAAACTGGTTTTAGCAACTGGACACAGGCAAGTGTCAGTGCTGAGGGGCTGGGCAGTGACAGCTTTGGGAGGTGAAGGAGGTGACCTGGTGACTTCAGGAGGGGGCAGTGTGGCCTGAAGCCCAGCATGTGACACTCCAGTGGCCAATGGGCTGTCTCGGTTTCTCCAGGACTGAAGAACTGCGGCTGTTTTCCAGAGGAGTCACCGGCTGTGGGAGAGGCAGAGGGGACCTTCCCTCCGGATTGGGGCCCGAGGTCACAGTGCCCTTCTTGCTGCCTCAGGCCTAACAAAGAAAGCTGGAAGCTTGCACAACAGGTTCTGGCTGTTTCCAGGGCTTTAAAGCCTCCGTCTCAGGGATGGGAAGCAGGAAGGGCGCACAGGGACACATCTTTGGCTACAAGAACTCCAGATTCAGAGGAGCCAGGCATGAAGCACCACAGAGCACCAAAGGACTGCAAAACCCTTTTCTTAATCAATCATATTTTATTGTCAGTTATAAATATTTTCCATTTGTCCCCTATTTACAGCTGTAAAATAGTTCATGATAATTATACCCTCACCTACCATTTAGCATCTTGCTATAAACTCCATGAAAATTGAATAGGAAATAAAAACCTCTTGTTGGGGGCCCGCCAACCTGGCTCCCCCAGACTCCAAACAACCCCACACAGACAGCAGGCAACGTCGCAGCATGTGCTACACAGTAGCAAAGGGGCGGCCGGCGGCGGCGCTGGGCGGTCAGGACGCCAAGCTCCGCAGGACGTTGGTGATGCTCCAGTGCTGGCCCGAGCACTTCTGCAGCACCAGCTGGAAGCCGAACTCCAGGTCGCTGTTCTCCTGTAGCTCCAGACAGCGCTTGGACTTGCGGTTCTGGATAGGGCCTCCCTAAGAGCCAGGGCACAGAGTGGGGTCAGAGGGCACAGAGGTAACATGGAGATTTGGGGAGCCTCAGGCCTAGCGGCTGGTGGGGGCTGGAATTGTTTGTGTGGCCAGATCCCTGGGGGCTAGCATTCCCATGGAACCTCAGGAGCCTCCATCTCTGATGTGTTGGTCTTCTCTGGAGGACTGAACATGTGCCTCAATTTCTTCATGATGCCTTAGTTCTTTGCTAGGAGAGAGACCTCTCCACCCCAACTTCTGTTTACCTGGCTCATTTGTTCCTACAGCTCCTACCCTGAGGGCTGGGCCCTGCTCTGAAAAGCCTAGTTCTTCGGGACCACCCGTGATCAGCCTGCATTTGCGCATCACCAGAAGCCTAGGACCCCCTGCTCCTGGGGCCCGTGCCCCCAGCTGGACCTCTGGGGTCATCAGTATTGGCCTCAACCAATCCAGTATCACTGGATACTGTCCATCAGGTCACTGTCCTCCTTGAGCCCTGGACATGGTTTTCCCCCATGCTACTGATGTTTCAGAATGTTCTGCAGCCATGCATACTCATGAGATTTATGTCTCAACACCCCTTGAAGGAAGTGATGTTCTACTCCTCAAATCAGCCCTATAGCAGCAAAGAGGGAACCCCCAATTTTTATTTTGAGTGAGATCCTTCCAGGGTTTGATTCTTTGGGGCTGCTGGCTGTGAGCCTGGGACGTCAGCTTGAGCAACTTGAGCACCTCTGAGTTACCCCCAAAGTTGTGCTCAACTAGACTTTGGCCTCCCAAGCAGGCAGAATTGCTTGGGTGGGTGGAAGCCCTTATAAGTGGGTGCCTTGTAGCTTAATGGCACTTGAGTATAGGGTGAAGCTCACCTCTTCTCAGGAACCTACTCCTCCTGTGTGTCCTGTCTTGGCAACAACCAGACACTTATGTGGGAAACCTGGACATTTTCATTTCTTGTTCATCTTCCTCAGCACCCAATGCCCTGTGACTGTCCCCTTATCTCACTCCCATCACGCTTGCCCTGGTGTGGGCCACCATCTTTTCTCACCTGGACAACCCCATCAGCCTCCTAAAGGACCTCCCTTCCAGCCTCCGGAGGCAGGGGTGGTGATCTTTCTAAAGTGCATGCTTGGCCTGGAGGACGAAGTCCGAGCTCCTTAGCGCTGCACTGAAGGCACCCATGGCTCCGTGCTGCCTTTCTCTGCAGCCGAATCTCTGACTGCTTCCCCAGCTCCGTGCCTCTTGCTGCAGCCATACCAAAGCCCGTGTGGTGTTCTGAACCCATTTGCATTTGCTCAGGCTTCCTGGACTTTGAAGGAGCTGTGCCTTCTGCCTGGGGTCCTTCTCCATGCTCCCCCAGCAGGCTAAGCCACAGCCGCGTGTCAAAGCCCAGTTCCTGCTCCGTTTCCTCCAGGAAGCCACCTCCATTGCCCACCCATGCCCACCTCCACTTCCCCTCCTCAGTCTACCCGCTGGCTTGTTGCTCTTCACCCTGTGACCCCTCCAGCTCACAGTAGGCAGTGCACTGTGAGACGGGGAGGTGGCAAACCTCTTCTGCAAGGAAGTCGTCTGAGTCTGCCACAACCATCCCCATGGCAATGGCTGATATCTTCAGAGAAAACGTTAAGACTCGGTTCTCACACTACCTAGGAAACTGGCAGCATCTACTACAGTTGGCCATACACTCCCCTATGACCCAACAACTCTAACAGAAACGTGTGTACCAAAGACATGCCCTTGAAGGCTTTCTGTGACATGATTGTAAAACTCTAACCTGGAAACAACTCAGACATCTATCAATAGTAGATGGATAAACAACTCATGGTATATTCATGCAATGGAATACTATACAGCAATAAAAACAAACACGGCACACTAGAGCTACACTCAGTAAGGGTAAATCTCATAAACACAGTGTTGAGCAAAAGAAGCCAGACAAAAGAATGCATAAATAACTTCCCAAACAGGCAAAATAAAACCACAATGTTACAGTCAGGATGCTGGCCACCTCTGGGGAGAAGGGAGTGGGAAGATGATTGGCTGGAAATAAGAGGGGCGCCTCTGGGTGCTGGGAGTGTGCTATTTCCTGACCTAGGCGTTTGTTTGGTTTAAATCATTAAGTTGAATGTATGTTTTATACATGTTTCTATATGTATATATGTTATTCTTCAACTAAAAAATTAAAACAAGAAATTCAGCTCCTTCCAAAGGGATTTGAGTGGTGAATGAGAACCCAGACAGACGGCAGAGGGGGTCGAGGGGTGTGGGGGTGCGTGTGTCAGGGAAGGGGTGTGGAATTCCCACAGCCCCCCTTTCCCACCGGCCACTCAGGCACATTCTGAGCCCGATGTGCTGCCTCCCTGCCGAGGCCGAGAGAGGGAGGTGGGAGCAGAGGTCTCTGAGCAGTAAAGTGTCCTTCCGAGACTCACATCTGCCATTTCCCAGGCCCTGCCCTGGCCCAACCTTGCCCTCAGCACCCTAGAGACAGGAAGTGTGGTGACCCTGGGGCAGAAGCCACCAGTGTGGCCTCCTGGGAGAATGTGGAAGGAATGGGTGGGGGCCAAGAGTGGGGTTGGGACAGGTCAGTGGAAGGGACACAACCTTGGTGACAATATCTGGGCTTGTCAGGTGGTTCTGGAGCCAAGGAGAGCCCCCTCCCTGAAGGCTGGGAGAGGAGCTTCTAGAACAGGGTCGTAAGGCCATGGTGGGGCCTTGCTGAGCAGAGCCCTGGTGTGCCCTTTGGTGCTAGAGCTAGCACTGGCCACTGCATTCCCCCTGCCCTGCTTGTCAGACCTCAGCCTCTCTCACTGAACAAGCTGAGCTCTCTCCCTCTCTCTGGGCAAAGTCCATTCGCAAAGCTCACAGAGAAGCCCTCCGTTCCTCCATTCAATGCCGCCTGGCAAGTTCAGCCCCCTGGGGGCAGCCGAGTGTTGTCACCATCCACACCCCTGCCTGCAGGCTCTGCGCCTGAGACCACAGTAGTGCCAGTCTGCGCTTACTTACTGTTTGCCTAGCACTGTGCCACGTGCTTCACATGCCCAATGTCACGTGTTCCTACAATAGCCTGGAGAGGTGGACATGATAATTATCCCCATTTTATCGAATTGGAGACTGAGGCTCAGAGAGGTTGGGACATTTGCCCAGGTTCACATGGTCACTGGGAACCCAGGGGTCTGCCCCTTCACTGTTCCCCAGTAGGACGTGGCCAGCCCCAGCCCACCCCATGCCTATCTCAGGGGCCGTGGGTGGACCAGACCGAGGGGGCTGGTGGTGCCAACACCTGGGGTGGAGAAAGGTCCTCGCAGTGAGCTTCAGAGGTCTGGGGAGTGAGTTCGACTGTTAGCATGTTAGAAGGTGGTAAGTCTATGTGTGAAAATGTAGACAGGAAAGAGGTTCCGGGGTGGTGGTGAGCCGGAGGCAGGCGGCAGTTGTGAGAAGTGGTCGGAAAAATCCTAAATTAAAGATCAGGTCTGAACGAGGAGGAAGGAGGAGAGGAAAGGGCCCTGGGGGAGTCCTGGGCCCTGGGGAGGAGATAACCTCAAGAGGTGAGAGTGGGTGTGCTGGGCCTCATGGTCATTGAATAGACTTGGGCTTTTGGTCTGGGTGTCAGCACCAGCCATTGCAGGGTCTGATTGACACGTTAGCCAGGTTGTCCTGGGTACTCTACTCTGTCGGGCGCACACCATTGGAGCGAGGAAGCAGGGACACCTGTTAGCCGACTTCTGTCCTGACACCCAGGGCCAGCCTGCAGCCTCTGGGTCAGTCCCATGGCTCTGCGGCTGGGGCTTCACGCAGAGACGTTAGCCGTTCCCTCTCCCTGAGAAGGGCACAGTCACTTGGTTCACCAGGCCTGTCACCGACATTATTTGTGTAATACTTACAACTACATGATCTGGAAACACACAACACTTTTAATTAAAGAATTTAAATAAGGGCAATTAAACCTGGTAGGAGAGAAGCCACAACGCACAGAGAGCTTAATTGGAATGAAAATCAAATTAAATATGGAAACAGCAGTTAAAAAAAAAATCACAAGTTGAACGTATAGAATTCAGAAGGCTGATAATAATTCCTAAAGCCAGTTCCCAGCCCCTAGCTGAGTTCCTCCTCCTTCTGGGCTGTTCTGGAACAGCGACTGGGAAGGGCCTCAGCGGAAGCCCAGATCACAGGACTCTGCGCCCAGCCTTGGCCACATGAGCCCAGGCCTGTGGCTGGGCTACTCTGGGCTTCAGTCCTCTCACTTGCAAAAGGAGACAGCACTTTGGGGCACTCAACTGCTGTCTCAACGTAGAGGACTGACTATGTGCACACTGGGGCATGTGGGTGCCATAGTCCGTGAGCCTTCTGGGCACCGAGGAGCAGATCCCAGATTACTATATAGCCAAGCACTCAGCTTCCCCAAGAGCGTGTCTGTGGTGCTAGGTGGGGAACAGCTAGCATCAACCTAACTGGCCCTGTTCCTCCTGGGGATGTAGGCTGGCTAAGAGTAGAGTCACTTAGGGGGGTGGGTGTTAAATTATAGATCACAGCCCTCTTCTGATTTAGCAGATCTGGGAGGCCTGAAAATGTGCCTTTTTCTGTTTTAATTTCAGATTATTACATGGGTACAAATGTTTTGGCTATATGAATTGTTTTTGTACAGTTTGAATCAGTTATAAGTGTGCCCATCACATTGTACCTGTTAGGTGTGATTTCACCCATCCCCTTCTCCCCCCTCCCACCTGCTTGATTTGCATTGAGTTTTACTTTCATATATAAGTGCATATGAGTGTTGATCGATTAGTTCCAATTTAGTAGTGAGTACATGTGGTGTTTGTTTTTCCATTCTTGTGATACTTCACTTAGGAGAATGGTCTCCAGTTCCATTCAGGTTGTTACAAAAAGTATTAGTTCACCATTTTTTCAATGGCTGAGTAGTACTCCATGGTATACATATAACACATTTTATTAGTCCACTCATGTACTGATGGGCACTTGGGTTGATTCCACATCTTTGCGATTATGCTGCA